CCCTCCGCTGCGGGTTGACAAGGAACGGAGGGATGGGGTGTGCTGGAAGAGGAGATGGAGGGACGGGGCGTGCCTGGGGGAGAAGGGGTGGGGGGTGCTTAGGTAAGAGGAGATGGAGGTGTGGGATGGGCTCGGGGTGGGCCAGGAGAGGTGGAGGGATGGGGTTTGCATCCTCTGGGCAAGAAAAGGCAGAGGGGTGCGGTGAGCTTGCGCTAGGCAAGGAGAGGTGGGAGGGTGGTCTGTGCTTGCACTGGTCCGTGAGACACGGACAGGGTTGTGCTTGCGCTGAGGAAGAAGAGGTGGAGGGATGGGGAGTGCTCGTGGTGGGCAAGACGTCGCGGAGGGAAGGGTCTGCTTGTTCTTAACCAGGAGATGCCCCTGACGCAGTGCTGTGTTGTTATTCAAGATGATGGTGACCTTGGCCTCGAACAAGCCATAGGGAAACAAGCTGGCCCATACCATGTGCCATTTGAGACCTGGGGCTGCCCTCCTGCCTCTGGATCCCCCCCATGGCAGCGCAGTGCCTGCACGGCACGTCGCTGGCTGACGCACGCCAGGGCACACTTACCTGCGCTGGCTGTAATTTTAGGTGATGCTTTTTACAAGAAACAAGAGCTGGAATTATAAAGTTGCCCTCATGAATTTGTGATTTTTACACAGTGTTGGGAGAGCTGCCAGTGATATTTAAGTCACTCATCGGCATCCCATCTCTCGGAGAGCTGATATTTGGTGCGGAGACACATAGGATGGACTTTTGTTTTTAGGGGGAAGTGAAAAGAGCTTAAGGTAAAGAAAGCACAGATGGGCCAGACATAACAAAGAACTGATTTTGGCTGAAAGCCAGTAAATGCCCACCTCTCCCATCAAAACACAGCTTCAGGAAGGAAAAGATGTCGCAGTGTGATACAGACCCACAAGGGGCTGTTGAGAAGCTCCCTTCTGTGTCATAGGAGCCTCTGAAGTCAAGTGTCTAGAAACAGTGATGACTTTGAAGTCTGTCAGAAGAGGAAACATTTGCCAGCTCAGCTCAGAAACTCTTTCCTTTGCCTATTTCCTGGAAGTAGTGGCACACTTAAAACAGGGCTGGGATTTCTCTCCCTGCGTAGGAAACCTCAGCCCCGTTGGTGCCTGGCAGAAGGCAGCGGGCACAGCGGTGCTGCGGGGCTGGCATGTGGGAGAGGCAGCGGTGCCGGCTCACGGACAGGGCATTTCTCAGGGTGAGATGTCTGAACGAAGGCTATGGCTGGATGAGGCTTTTGCACAGCCGTTCCCAAGGCGGTGGCTGAGCGCTGGCTCCGGCAGCATCCCGCAGTGCACTCTGCTGGCTTGTGACCTGGTGTCAGAGCAGATTAGGCTGGCCACGGAGGAGTTTCTGATGTTTTTAAGAAGGTATAGCCTTCATCTCTCGTCCTTTGGTGTATTACCTATATGGCATATATGCTTATTTGCTCGACTTGATGTGTTTAGGGTCTTTTTTTCAGCTGTGTGAACGCCCCTGTTTGTAACCCAGCCCGGTTCAGCGAGAGCTGCCCTTTGACCGCATCATTCCTATTACATATGAAACTGTTTATTCAAACAAGTCTGTTGTGTTTTTGACGGCAGGAAGGCAGGCACACAGCCGAGGAGCACGTCAGGCAGTGTGACGTGTCGTCCCTCACGGTGGAGGTGCTCTGGTCTGCAGCATGTGATGCTCAGGGCTGCATCTCATGGCCATAGCCGGATGGCTGCTCCATAAATCACGGCAGCCCCTCCAGGACACCAGCACGGGGGGCTGGGGTGCTTACCGAGACCCCCACAGTGCTCTCAGTGCTCAGGAGTCCCAAATGCTCACAAACGCAGGCCGCGGGGAAGAGGGACGCACCGGTCCTTTGTGCTGCTGGGCACACGTGTGTTGTTTTGGTCATTTATTTTGCTCGTTTAGGCAGAGCCAGGGATGACCTGGGGCTTGTTTTTCTCTGTGAATTTGGAGACAGATCTAATAGTTGGACAGATTATTTAAATGACTGTTCCTCCAGTGAGGCCAAAACCAAATGAACCTCAATCCTGTCCTGCTTAGCACCACTTCCTCACCCAAAAGGGGGATGATCTTTAAAGGCAACTTCTCCCTGTATCTCTGCAGCACCACAAAGACATGGGCTCTTCTTTGGGGCACATATGGGAGAGGAGATGCTTTCCTATCAGGGCAGCTGGGCACAAACCAGTGGGATAGTAGAGTCGTAGACATTCATTTATTTTCTTTGCTTTATTTTAAAATAGTGGTAGAGTAATGAGAACGGTGGGGGACTTTAGTGTACAAAACAGGCTAGTAGACCCGCCTGTGACCTGGAGGATCTGAAGCGCTCATCTTCCCCATCTCTGCAGTCAGTGCCGTGTATCTTAGTGCAGTGGTGTAAGGCAGGAAGCCCCGTTGTTCAGAGGGGAGATGACTTGCACCAGCTCTGGATCTGGCCCACCTCCCTGCCGGGATTTACTGGTGCGTGAGGGCCTTAATGGTGTGTGACAAATCACAGCCCGTTATGGCGGG